CCCCCCCCCCCCCCCCCCATATCCAAAACCTTCCAAACGCCTCATTTAGCCAAAGATAAGCATTATTATGCACATTGATAGTTTGATAAGAACTCAAATCACTATCATGTTATTAGATTAGACAGAAGGCCACAAACAATGTAGAATATAAGTAGGCCAACATTTAGGCTTATGACAATTCAATATGAACGCCTTGTATAGATTCATCAACTCCATAAAAAGTAACTAAAGTAGATGAAATAGAAAGTTACTTTCATTAAGGGAGGCCAAAACAATTGAAATCTTTAGTATGAACGCTAAAAGAAAGACACAACTTGGGTGAAAAAGGTTCAAACACTTCCATTGGAGGGCCTACATATGTTAGGTTTCCATACCTTATTTTTATTACTTATAACTTGTTCTTAGATGAGAAACTTATACAACATTAACCACATTAACTTAAATCAGACAAAAAATATTCAGATCAGATCAGACCTACCTTGATAAATTCAGATCAGAACTAATCAGATGAATGAGACGAATGGAACAAGCTTTGAGTGAGTGAGGAACCCTACCTAGAGGAATCATCACAAACCGAGCTTCCCGCGAGACAAAACTCGAATTCGGGCAACCAAGTAATGAATCAAGCATTAACCTCCACTTGCCTTCCTCCTTTATGAGGAGGGAACTTGAAGCCATCATGTTCATATTTATCTTTAGCTCCGGCGTCAATGCGACCATCATTGCCACTTCGATACAAAGGATTTGATGTCAAGATCATTACTCTTGACTCCCCATCTATCTCCAAGACTTCTGGCAATCCATTGATACACCCTTTGGACATGCCAACATCAATCCTTATGGCTTGGTTATTGCAAACCCCATTGATCCCGATCCGTTGAATGGTATGCCCCATGATCATCCTCTTTGCGCCCGGAACGGTAGCCAACACATGCTCAAGGGTGGAACAATCGCAATCGGTCTCCATCTGATTCGAGAACTTCCTCAGCCAAACGACCGAGTCTCTCCCATTGACCAACTCCCTCCAAACCGTTTTCCTCGCCCCGGATATCCATTCGCTAATCTCCTCATTCAGCTTCTCCAACCCATACTCCACATGTATGGGCAAGAGTCCACCGTGCGCGAAAATCGAATCCCCAACGACCACAACGGTTTGGTTTTGGGATAAAAACCTAGTTGCAATAGGTCCATGGGGCCTTAACGCCGCAATGCGTGCCCTAATTCCTGCAATATACTCTGGTTTAAGCCCTGGGAATTCGAAGGGTACCCCATCAAAGGGGTCCTTGAAGGACTCTTTATCCCCTGCACCTTCACACCTCTCCTTCAAAATCTTCCCCACAGAATGCCACAAAGCCCAATTCTCAAATTCCTTAAGGCCTCGTTTGGTCACATACCGGAAATCTCCAGATACGTTCATGATCTCGTGATTACCGTTCATCGTGATCACGCTGCCACCGGCCTTGGCGGCCTCCCTCTTCAATTTCTCGAGAAAATACAGAATCTTCAGCTCGTCGCCGCCGCGGTCGAGTACATCTCCAACCTGAACAACCGTGGCGGATCCGCCGCACCATCGATCGCGGTCGTCGATTAGCCGGGAGAGGCGGAGGGCCTCCTTGGTCTTAGGAAGATCGCCGTGGAGGTCGCCGATGGCGATGAGACGGGCCGGCGCCCGGAATACGGTCTGCAGCCGTGGTGATGCATTGGAGTCGGGGGTTAAGCTGGCGTCGGGACTTCGAGGTGGATTCGGTTGCGGCGGCAAGAAGAGGCCGCCGCTGACGGAGAAATCGACGAAGGTGTCGACGAAAGAGGATAGGAATTGTGGGAGATTTTCGCACGAAACGCCGTTTGGAGATCCCATTCCAACAACAGTCTTTTCGGGGGGTATTCACCGGATGTTCTTGGCTTTCGGCTCTAAGAATATTAGTATTATTTATACATTTTAATTTTTATTTTGAAAATAAAAATATGAAAATTTAGTTTAGTATATTTTTTATGTTTTACTTATATTTTAAACATTTTTCCTTTTATTACCTGTAAGTAGTCAATCTGTATAAATATGATAAGTTAAATGCAATCTATATTATGTGTGGAATAATCTTAAAATGAGTGTACATATATTTTGTAATAATGCACTCATACATTATTTGATTAAAATATATAAATATGTAAAAGAATATTTTGTTATTCAAAAATAAATATTTACATAGATATATATGGACTTATCTTTTTGTGCTTCCCTATCATGAAAGAAACTTTTTTAGACCATGAAAGGAACTTTACTACTTGTTTGACTTTAGTTCTTTTATGTTTTTCTTTGTGAAATATTTCCTCCGTCTTAAAATAAAATTCTCGGCCACTCTCGAGGATTTGATTGCCTTGGACGATACGAAAAAAATGAATCTTGACCCTAACATATTAAATTATATAAACTATTGTATTTAAATTAATATTATAGTAATCCATATAATCAAATTATAGTATTATAATTAAATATCATAAAAACTATCTTAAAATATTACATTTTTAAATTTTGATTTAAAAAATAAAATATAGATAAAAAAAATTAAATTGTTAGCCCCCTGGAAAATAGGTTTAGGTGGTAGGGTACCTTGGCAAGTGTTGGGTTGGCCCTAGCTCTCTCTATGACTTAGGGGCTGTTTGTTTCAGCCTCTTAATGGTTCAGATGTCTGAATGGTTCAGCACTTAATGGTTCAGACTGTTTGTTTCAGCCTCTTAATGGTTCAGATGTCTGAATGGTTAAGAGATTTGCCTCTGAATGGTTAAGTATTATACAGAGTCTGAATGGTTAAGACCTCTTATCTGAATTGATCAGACATTTGCCTCTGAATAGTTAAGCAATATACTAGCTCTTAATGNCTGTTTGTTTCAGCCTCTTAATGGTTCAGATGTCTGAATGGTTCAGCACTTAATGGTTCAGACTGTTTGTTTCAGCCTCTTAATGGTTCAGATGTCTGAATGGTTAAGAGATTTGCCTCTGAATGGTTAAGTATTATACAGAGTCTGAATGGTTAAGACCTCTTATCTGAATTGATCAGACATTTGCCTCTGAATAGTTAAGCAATATACTAGCTCTTAATGGTTCAAACCTCTTACTGGTTCAGCACTTAATGGTTCAGACCTCTTACTGGTTCAGCACTTACCGATTCAGAAGTAGCCAAACAGCCCCTTAGTACAATAACGTTTAATGAAAGTGATGGGTGTATTCTACCCAGGACCCGGTCCAAATTCGAGTCCACTAAAGCTGATCGGTCAGATTCAAACATATGAGAATGGAAGATTTAAACTAAAAATAGACTACTAGATAGATTCGAAAGAGTCGACCAGTACAAAATATAGACTTACCGGTCAAAGTACGTGACTTCAAGCTTGTGGTCTTCTGCCCATTCAGAACGCATAAGAAAGGTAAACTTATCAGGTAGGTTACTATGGTGTGAAAGTGCCAACAGAAATAACTCTAAAGTCGATCGGATGGTAGTGACCAATTTTCAACGAAAGATCACGATAATATTACAACATCCTCAGCTGGGCGCTACGCGGAAAATGAGGTATCATCAACACAAGATGACAAGAATATAGGAAAAAGCGCTACGGGACAAGGGGAAGTCACCTCACCTCGCGCTGTCTGAGAACGTGGGCTGATGTGGACAAACGGTGCTCTGTCCCATCCATTTCATTATAAATACCCTCGTAACCCTCAAATGAAGATATCTGAATTCTATCTCTCTATAGCATATTGTGTAATACTTCTTAGAGCATGTTCTTTAGAGCTTGAACTCTTAACTTCCAGTTTCTTCCAGTTTTTTCCAGTTTCTTCCAGTTTTTTCCAGTTTCTTCCAACTTTTCTCATTTTCTTCAAATTCTTTATACTCCTAAACCAATTACTCTAAAAATGATATATTTCGATGTGATTATTATTATTATTATTATTATTATTATTATTATTATTATTATTATTGTTATTATTATTATTATTATTATTATTATTATTATTATTATTATTACGACTGTTATATTCATAACAATAGTTTATAAATTATTTTTTTCATCTCACTGTTTTTACGATTCACACTTATTATTTCTTTCTTCAACTTTTTAACATGAATAAGACATTTTTTTGTATATTAGTCTACGTGATAAAACATGAAAACATTAATATGTTAAATTATACTAAAAAGTTATGGATAAAATAGTTACATTGAATGTTTTATTAATATAAATTTTTATAGGACATCTAAGTTTTCCCTTTATTACTTAAAAATTGCTCATTTTTCTAATTTTTATATAAAAAATTGTAAGTCAAAAGAGCTTAGAGAAAAAGACTAAAATATGAGTAAAACATAAAAACTGTAAATAAAAAAGTTCTGTCTTTATTCTAAATATAGAAATTCAATGAAAATAAAATGCCAATCATGAAAGAAACAATAGGTTTGATTATGATGATGATGATAATGATGATGATAATGATAATGATAATAATAATAATAATAGTAGTAGTAGTAGTTATAATAATAATAATAATAATAATAATAATAATAATAATAATAATAATTTATAACAACGAGAATTTAAAATAAATATTTTAAAAGTTTTTTTTATGTTTCCCAGTTTTTTCCAGTTTCTTCCAGTTCCTTCCAGTTTTTTCCAGTTCATTCCAGTTCTTCCAATTCCTTCTAGTTTTTTCCAGTTTCTTCCCGTTCCTTTCAGTTTTTTCCAGTTTCTTTCAACATCCAACTCTTTTTTTACACTCTTAAAGAACAGGCCCTTACTTTCCTACATACATATATATATATACACACACTGACACACGCATATTATACACACTTTATTTGTAACAAAATAGTTGCAATGATTGTTATTCATTTTTATCCATCTTAAAATAAAATATTTAACACAGAGACACACAAAATAAATGCAATGCTTGCATTAGATTTTCATAGAATTCAAAAATAATAATAATATACTCCCAATGTCCAATTTAAATCGCCTGTTTTGGTTTACGATATTTGGATGAACTTATTTTCAAATCATTTTATATAAAAACGGTGTAGAATTAAAAAATAAAAAAAGATTAACAAAACTAGTGGTTGCATGACTATATTATTTTATCAAATAACTAACGAAAATATGAAAAGAAAGTGAATCAAATTTGACCATGTCTATGTGCAGGGCCGGCTCAAGCCAGGGGCAAGGTGGCCACCTGGACAGGGCCCAATTTTGGAGGGGGCCCCACTTTTTTTCTTCTTTTGTATATATTCTAGGAGTATATATATTATACTCCGTATATATTTATAAAAAAACAGGTTAAGACTATGAATTTGACATTTTATTATTCTTATTACTATAATATTTTTTATTGTTAAAAAAAATTTAATTGATAGACTTTATTTTATTATGACACAATGGCCCATTTTCTCCGTGACGTCCAGGGTCCCTGATTTCTCGGAGACGGCCCTGTCTATGTGAATAGTAAACAAGAAATTTAATTTAGAACGGAAGGTTTAGAACTTTTTAACGAAATGCAATAAGATGGTTAAATGAGAACACATCAACATTGTAAGTTTTTTAATCACTAAGCCAATTTTGGAAGAAATAAGTATTTTTTATATTTATTTTATTTTATTATTTTAAATTTTGATTTTCATTTATTTTACTTTTTATATTTCAAAATTTGAAGTTTTAAAATTATATTTTTTTAGTTTAAAATTTAATCTTTTAATTTTTATTTTGTCTAACTTTTATTTTTTATTTTTTTACAGCTACCAATATAATATATATAAAAATTGATTTTCCAAACAGAGAAATCTAAAAGTTCCCCTTCGTTTCAGGTTACGAAAAAATGATTTTGAATATTTAATCTGTCAAAATACCTAAAATCAGTCAAAAAAATCAAAACCTTAGGTCGAAAAGCCATTTTCCAAAAAACACCCCCAATGTAAAGTCAATGAAATGGAGAGAACAAATAAGACATAGAGAAAAAGTAAATTAACAAGGACGACAAGAAGTCAAGAATTGCTCACAAACATGGAATTATCAGGAACCTGTTTTAAACAGAGTTACTAAATTCCAAAAAGCAATTCCATTGAGCATCATTGCTGGCCGAAATTGATGAAGAATAAAGACCAAGGACGGCCTCAAATTCAAAGATAAATAATAGGGTGCTAGAGATGAAATAAAAAGAGAGAGATCATACTCTTTCAAAAGACTAAGAGCACTGGCACCATTGGCTGTGCCACTGCCACGCCTGCCACATAAGCAAATTGTTGTTGTTGCCTTGCAAGGCTATAGTGATTTGCCATGCTTGGCAAGTAATGGGCGAGGCAATATTCTTTTCTTCTTTTTTTTTCCTCCATAAAATAAAACTTTTTTAAAAGTAGAAGTATTTTTTTGAAAAAAACCTAAGTAAATTCATTTTTAATACTTTGTAGTAAAAATAAGACATATGTAAAAAATGTAAAATTTGAAAAAAAACGCAATTTTTTTTAAATAAGAAATATTTTTAAAAAGAGTATAGTTTATAAAAATATAAACAAAATAAATTTAAATAATTTAAATAATTTTGAAATATTTTTATTTTTTTATTTGAAAAAAATATAAATAAAATAAATTTAAATAATTAAAATGTGCAAAAAAAGTAAAATTGATAAAAACAATGACTTGCCACTGCATGACATGCCACTCCACTCTCATGCCACACGCTGACTGGAATTTTTTTATTGGTTGAAAGTTTCCATGTCATCGTGTGTCATTTTATTTCTTACTTGCCATTGTAAATGCTCTAATGTCTTGTCTCACATTTTAAAAAGACTAATGTCTTGTCTCACATTAGTGCTAGAGTTTAGCGCTTTAAAAAAATCAACAGAGTATTTTACAGTAGCTTTTAGTATTAACATTTTCCAAATTAATTTACATCATTAAAATTTATCCAAAATGCAAATGCTAATCAAAAACGCTACTCACAAACAAGGCTTAATACTATTTAAAGCGTGATTGGTTCAATCTTTTTTGGAACTGGACCAGACTGGTTCGGTACTCGTTTAAAAAATTAAAATTATGGACCTTTTGATAGTTGGTAGTCTGTTAAAAAATTAAAAATATGGACCTTTTGATAGTTGGTAGTCTGGTTAGGACCGGTCTAAATCTGATCAAGTCTTTATTTTTAATATGTGAAGGTTTTAATTTCTTGTTTTTAAAAACAATAAAGTAAAAATTCTTACTTTTGATTATTTAGATTCTTTGATTTTAATACATTTATAATAATCATTTATGCAGCATGAATAACTATACTATATACAAAGGGAGAAAATTTTAGTTATAAAAAAAATTAGTCTGTGCTTTTCTCGTCCAAAGCTTGGTGGCATGTCCAACGTTTATTAATTCTTGGGAATATAGATGAACTTCAATTACATAGTGTCCTGCATTTAGTGTCTCCTTTATGACTCCATGTATTTAGTCCTATATTATTACCTTTGAAATCTTATTTGTTGGGAGTTGAAAATGTGGGAGTAACTACCTCTAAATGATTTATTTCTTGTGAGTTGAATAGGCACACAACATATAAATGGTTTGAGAATCAATGCAAAAATTTCAAAAAAATATTTGATACGCTATTATTTAAAAAAAGTTCCAATTTATCGGGTATAATTAAACTCACACAAGTATATACACAAGAAAAAGAAATCTAGTTACTAAAAAAGATATTTGGTCTATGCTTTTCCTGCACAAAGCATGGTGGCCTGTCTAGCATTGATTGCCTTTCCCTTATAAAGCAAGGATTGTGACTCAGATTGTCTGCTTATTAATCCTTGAGAATATGATTAAACTTCAATTACACCGTACCCTGCATTTAATGTCTTTTTTATAACTCCATGTATTTAATCCTATAATGTTGCCTTTGAAATCCCTATTTGTTGGGAGTTGAAAAGGTGCGAGTAACTACTCCCTAAATGATTTATTTGTCCCGCGTGTCTAGCATTAATTGCCTCTCCCTTATAAAACACAGATTCTAATTGGGATTGCTAGTTTATTAATCTTTGGAAAATATGATTGAACATTAATTGCA